GGAGAATGTGAGAGAAGAGGGGTGAGGAGAGGGAGGGGGGAGATAGGTAAGCGGCAAGCGGCGACTGAGTTGACGAGACATACATGACAGAAGGAGACCGCCAGCGACTACTACAGGTGGCGATTATGAACACAAAGCTACGGCTGTAATGATGGTAATTGCGTTTTGCGCCCAGATCGACTCAATTTAGATAATTTAGGCGACGGGTTTCTTCGAGTTCGAGGAAAGAGAAACAAATCGACACAATAATGGTAATTTAGTGCTGGGGAAAAGTAAGACTTCTTTTGCGTAAGAGTCTTACGGCCCTTGCAAAACAATAAGGTCATATAGGTGCCGGAGATTAGAGGTGTTACAAGGAGTAACAAACACAATAAGGTCATATAGGTGCCGGAGATTAGAGGTGTTACAAGGAGTAACAAACACAAAAAAGAAGGAGGGGAGATAAAAACGAAAGATGTTTGATAGAAAAGAAGGAGCAAACTACACCAGAGCACTGGGCAGGCACTGAAAGAGAAAATTTAAAAACGACTAGGGGACAATAGGGTTGGGTTGGGAAAGGGGTAGAGGAAAAGGGGCGGGGGTGGTGGGGGTGGGGTTGCAATGAAAAATAGAACTGAAAAATGAAAGGCAAATAACTTTAAAAAGTCAAGCCGTTAATAAAAGTTGTAAGACGATGATTATGCGGCACCGATCCTAGGCCCGGCCTTACGGCTATTCAACGAGCTGCAATATCACGAGAAGAGGACTCTAAAGGGGCAGCGTAAAAGGGCGTTGAGAAAATGAGGTCACCTTCAAGCAGTTATGGATATCAACTGTCACATAAAACAGTCCCAATCTGAATACAAGACACAAACTTTTGTAGTGTATTCACTACCGATGACGGTTCGCTGCCAAATGATTAGGGCTATATAAAGCAGTCGAAAATTTTATATTTTAGGAGGCAACGTTCTATCCTAGCCGCCCACTACAAAACACAGCTTTTTATTTTAGTATCAGTTTCAGTAAAAGTTTTACGACATATACGTGCCGAAGATTAAAGGTGTAACAAGAGAGAAACAAACGGTAAAAAGTAGGAGAGATGAGGACAATGTGTGTTTGAAAGGAAGCATAGCCCACTTATAATACTGCTGACAGTTTATAATATAGTTAATTTACAATACTGATCGTTTATTTTATAGTCATTATATAATACTGATAGTTTCTATGGCTCGCTCATAATACTGACAGTTTGTATAGCCCACTTATAACACTGATAGTTTGTATAGCCCACTTATAACACTGATAGTTTCTACAGGCTACTAATAATGCTGATGGTTTCTGTGGCTCTCTTATAACACTGATAGTTTATATGGTCCGTTTACAATACTGATAGTATTTATAGCCCATTTACAATACTCATTGTTTATATAACTCATTTATAATACTGATATTTTCTATAGCCCTCTTATAATACTGACAGGGTTTTTTTTAGCCCTCTTATAATACTGATATTTTCTAATAGCTCAGTTACAATGCTGCCCCCCACATGAGTATATAGAGCTGTGATGATTTAGAATCAAAAGCAATATAAATTATGTACCATAAAGAATACGTTTAAATAAACTCCCTTTGCAACATTGTATGGCCTTTAAAGGGGCATGGGATATCCGAATTCTAGTTTTAGTACGACTTGTACGGAATTTGCAACAGAATAAGGTCATATAAGTGCCGAAGACTAGAGGTGTTACAAGAGAGTAACAGACACACAAAAAGAAGGAGGAGAGATCAGGACAATAGATGTTTGATTGGAAAGACGGAGGAAACCACACCAGAACACCCACAAACCACCCATATATCCGAATTTAACATCCAATTCCGGTACGACCGAGTCATGTGGGAAAAGTCGTGTAAAGTGCCTTTGTCAAGGACACAACGTCGGACCGAGCAGAGGCTCGAATCCCCAAATCCGCAACTTTACGATTACGGGTCCAGAAGCCTAACAGCAAGACTATCGATACTAGCTTTAATAAGCTTCACAAGTTTGGCATACTCTTTTTAGCAGAGGTATTACGGCGCTTAAGGCATTATACTCTGAAGACCTTTTGGGGTGATAGTTTTGACGAAGGAAAAAAAAAACCCCATAGGTGCACAAAAAGGGGCATTTAGTACCAAATAAAAAAGCAAGGCAGACGGACAGACGTAAACAACAGCCGGACAGTACAGAATTAGAATACATCAGCGGCACTCTCCAACCAAACGGTCTGAATGGGCATCACCATCCCCTTCTTGACATGACAGCGGAGGAAGAGGGTAGGTCTTATTATAAATAATTCATTAAGGCGTTAAAAAAAGGGGGGG